GGAGTGGGTGCATGCCAGCGCCAGCGCCAAAGGCTGCAGAAAAGGGCGCCGGAAACCGAGCTCACACCAAATCGAAAGCGCGTGACTAGGTGGAATAGCAGCCCCTGTAGAATACTTTAGTAACTTTAGTAGCATCACAATGTGGAAGAGCAGGAAACGCTCCTGTAGATTGATTCGGTAGCTGTTCTCCCGTACATTAATTTACCGCCCCGAGCAAAATAGTAATAACTAAAGCACAGCAGGCACACCCTTGAATCGAACGACTATAAGTTGCCTACCGTTTATTTTCGGCGGGAACCAGCGCCCGTAGACCAGTTCAATGGGATTAAAGGCTCCTGGAAACATTTAGTAGCACGAAGTCCCCCGTACAGGAATTAAAACCAATGCAGTCGCGGAAAAGGTTCCCGTAGACCAATTTATTCGCAGAGAAAGACTCCCGGAGGAATCCGCATTCTTCTTAGTAACCCAAAGATAGAGAATTCAAATTCCAATTAAAATCCCATTATCATCCCATTCAATTAAAGATAGTTGCTGATAATCCCATTGACATTATCATCCCAATAATCCATTATCATCCCAATTAAAATTCCATTATCATCAATTATCATACCATTATCATCCCCATTAAAAATCAATTGAACCTTTTCCATTTTTTTTCGGGGGTAGCTGCTGACCACACCTGCATCGCAGATCTCAGGGCGGCAGCCACACTCACCTGGGGATAGCATCAGCAAACATCGAAGGATTTGATCAACAAAAAAATTGGGTTTAACCAGCAGAATACCATGCAAAATTGGAACTAAATCATCAAACATGACTTTTCCACTAACAAACATTGGGATTTAACCAACAAACATGAGGAACCAACCAGCAAAACGATGTGGGTTTTAAGTTGTGTAACAAACTAGCAAAATCTAGCAAAGGGCAGTTTCATGGATTTTGGTGACACAATTCTCCCATATCATCCCATATCCCATATCCCAGATCAGTGACAGTTAACCACCTGATTCACCGGTCAACCCCCACAATAAATTGCTGGTGAAGCAGTGAAGCCCTAGATTTTTACTGAAGAACATAGCATTTACCGCCGCCTCATGAGGTTCAAAGCCCAAGTGGTTCAAGGCTTCTTGCCTCGAAGGACTATGGATGGGGCAGCGGGAGTGAAATATGGTAAATTACCCAGAAGAAAAAAATGGATTTCAAAAATAAGACAGCTCAATGGATGATATATTTGAAAAGTACAGCTGGATATATGCAAAAACCGGGAATTGAGGTCTGACGCATAGGGGATGCCATGAAGACACGTGGTGATCCCAAACCAACACTGGGGATTGAAGCAGCAAAAATTGGAATCCAGATGAATTCAGGCAACACACATGATATCTGGTGCTTGGTATCACCAACTGAGAACAATCGTTTTTTAAAGCAGAAATGGCAATTTCAACAAGGGTGAATGCGGATATCACTATGAAGGCAATGAAGGGTATCCTTTGTGTGTGTAGTATGTTTAAAATATAACCATGTATCTGTATAGGAAATGAGCATCACCAAAATACGGACAAGACCACCATTCATCACTGCTACCACTTGGGCATCTTACCAGCAACTTTATTCGCTAGAACTGCCCAATATCTCCTTAAGCATCAAAATCCCAACTTCGTCCCACTTCTGTTGACTCCCATTGGTTGAAACACATCCTTGATGAAACATTTTCCTGATTTAACCCCTAACTATTGATTAACTTCTAATGATTCTCATGGTGACCCCTTTGCCCATGACAACCCACATCTATTGCTGGTTCGATCATCATTTTGTGGATGTTGATGCCAACAGCCTTTCACTATCAACATATGGGAACTTAAACACCCAAAAATTCACAGACGTGCCATCCGTTAAATCCCGGTTTTTCAACCATCCGCAGCCAAACACCACCCCCACGTTGTCGCCACGCGGCGCGTTGGCGGGCACTCCCTCGCTCGGCCACTGCACCTTGGGAATTCTTTTTGGGCCATGGGTAACTCCACTGGGTTCTTGGAGAATTTGACCCAGGAAGAATTTGACGATTCCAACTAGGGAAGCTAATAATGGGTGACCCAGGACATGACACGTATAAAATACTATAAACATGGGCAACTAATCACAAATTTCATGAAAAAATGATGTCATAGTTTGAGTCAGATTGAAACAAATTCCATTTGGCATGGAATTGAGCTTTCCAATGCGGTGGAGATTGAAACAGCCCACAATCTGCCGAGAACAATTGAGCTTTCCACGATGCGCGTTCCAGTCACTGGTCAATCATCATTACCAGTGGAACCAATAATTCGCCACCAGAGAGGCTTCACCAATTAGTCATGCACTGTTATTAATAGTTATTAACATACCCCCTTAATCCCTTAACAGTAAATAACTATTAATGAACCATTCATAACAGTTCTTATAATTCCCCAGTGTTTTTCATAACACTTTAACAGTCAATACCAGTTCACCAATGAAAATTTGGTGAAATCACCCCAATTCGTCAAGTTAAGATGCTGAGCTTCCACACCGCCGTGCGACCGTCCAGGGTATTGGCCAGCCACCTTGCGGGCAGGGATGACCTTTCCCTGCAAAAACAGGGGGATGTCACCCGGAAGATGATGGGAAGATCATAGAAATCACCGAGAAAAATGGTGGTTTTTTGACCAAGACACACAGAGATTAGGGTAAGGTAGCTATCAAAATCCAGGGTCCTCACAAACCCCTAGAACCCCATAGACTTAAACACTGTCCAAAACTAGCTTTTTAGGCTCTAAATGCTTGGGGCTTGTCTTTGGGGGAAAAAACAGATTTCTGGCGGCTTCCAAAATGAAAATGGGCCAACCCCTTTCTTTCACAAGTTCAATGGTAGGGGCCTCAAGTCTGTTCTAAGCTTACAAACATGAAAATGAGAGCAAAAACGTACTTCCAAAGGTGCTGGAGTTGCACAAGATTGCTGTTGCAAAAAGGCTGGAACTGGGTATGCCAAATTCAATAGTCTTATTTAAAATCAAGTTTGACAACAATGTGCAAGCCAAAAATATGCGAGAAAGTTGCCCAATCCAAACTTTGAAAAACTGCCCACACACCTTCCTGCCAAGATGTGCCCCATCCTTTTTCTAAGAGGATCGCTCAGCCATCTGAAGGTCACAACGGTCACCAGCTTGCAGCTATGAATTGAACAGACCAAAGACAAAAAATGATGGGTTTCAAATTGCATCTCCAAAAATTGGGTTGCTAGCTGCTGCTGGTGGCTCACTTCGCTTTAAACAATGCAGCCACAAAGGCTGTGGGCACTGTTGAGGGTAGCAAAACCAAAAGGTTCTGTTTGTCATCTGTAAGCCTTTCCTCTCACGACCATCGCTTTGGAAGTGATTGCTTCCATCAATACACGCATCAAAAATTCCCCTTCCAGTGCTGTGAAAAGAAACTCTCGCTAAAGGGAAAGGTCATGCTGTCAAGAAGGGCCAAAGCCCATGGATCAGCCCAAACAAGTCTTGCAAGGGGAATATCGCTTGAGCGAACTCTGCCCTGCAACGTGTCTGCATGCTTGGCTTCCATGGTAACATTTGCCATGCATTGTGACGAACACAGTGCCCTTGGAAAACAATTCGCTGATGGATGGGTCCTCTGTCTGGCAGCTCACGTGTACCTTGGTTACCTGCTTGTTGTTCGTTCCTCGCCACAAGATGGCAATTAATTCTCTTGCCAACAAAGTGAAGGACACCAAAAGCAGAAAACCTATGAAGGCTTCCATTGGGACAATGTGAATGGGGAGGTAACGCTTTAAGAAGTTACGGCATTTGCAACAATGGTTGTGAAGATGCAAACATGGTACAGTAGTGGAAGGCTTGGATTTGAGTTGTTGGAACCCATGTTTCACATTCATATTTCTGGTGTGGCTATATTTTTCTGACACAAGTCTTTATCTGCAAGAACTATTTGCCAATCTTAGGTTCGGCTTCATCTCATCAGCAACCATGGGCCATCAAAGCGATCTCAGTCAATTTCACACGCCCAAGAGTCCAAACCCAAACATGTTGTTTTCATGGCTTGGACGATGCAGCAATGCATCTGAAAACCTGCACAGCAACTGCAACTGCCTGTCAAACTCAAGTGAGATCATGCAACAAAAATGGCGAGGATAAAAAATGAAAACCACCAAGAATCACCCAATGGTTGCACTCGAGCAATGTGATGCGTAAAACTTGGCATTGGCATCCATATCATGGAATCAATGTGAATTTGAAAAACTCTTGTCGATGCTTCAGCTGATAGCTGATATTGATACACAAAAACTACCAATACAATGATGGAATGATGGACAAAGAGGTGCAACTTGCAACACAACAAAGGTTTGAACATGAAATCAATGATTCTTGCAAATTGCACACCTTGGTGAAAAATAAGTTTCACTATGATGAGCCTCTATGCTCTATGTATTTTCATGGCGTCGCTCTGTAAGGTGCTTCTGCTCGCTGCACGCTTCAAGCAAGGGGGTCTGCTCCACAGGCTACAGCTTTGACAAAAAACAACTTTGGCTTTGCTAAAGACAAGGACTGACTGACTATATATCAACTTCTAAAGTGGGACACATTTGCTTTGCTATGCTAGCAGCAAGAAGCCAGGGAAACAGGAGATCTAACCCCTCTGAAAGCAAAAGTGCTGGCAGAAATGGTCCCGTGCTGGACTGGACCAAAGTTTTCTCTATGCTTTGAGACTTACGCGCCCCTGACTCAGACTTTCAAAAAACGAGCTCTGCTCACGGCTCACTGTCTCACTGTCTGTCAGTTTCTCTCGGCAATCTGCGTAGCAATGCTCCTGTGAAAACTGCAGAAGTCTTGGCTAACCCAAGCTCTACCCCAGCTTGGGATCCAAAACCCTGGAGATTTTCAGCCCCCTTGCTTTGCAAACTCAGGAACACTGGACAACTAGGTTTTCCCAGGTGTCACAGCTGTATGACTTTGCCCCCTGGCAGTTTCTTACACTGCCAAGCATAGTGCCAATGTCTTGGTGCCTGACAGGCAGTGGGTGAGCTCCAGCTCATGCTCTTGACTCGCCTTGACGGCTTCACTCCTTGGCCCAGGTCCTTGGCCCTTGGCTTCACAACCACGGGCGCAGCAGCAGTAGCACCTGCAGAATCTGTCCTTTGCCTCTTAGCTGCACGCTTCTCTCCAGCACCCTCTGCAGCACCAGCACCGCCCCCAGCATTCTCTGCTGGGACAGCGGCAATGGAAGCAGCACTTGGGGCAGCAGTGGCAGCAGATGTTCGTCTTCGTGGGCCTGCTTCCGAAAGCTCGGCAAGCTTGGATTCCAAGGCTGCCAGCAACTTTCCAGTGCGCAAGGAACCTAAGGCTGCATTGTCAGCAACCTCTTCCTCACAGATGGCCTTGGTTCGGAGGGCATGTTGCTCTAGGAGCACATGAATCCTTCCACCATGGCACTCGCTCAATGCCATCGCCAGGAAGCAGTGATCTCCAGGGATGACCACTCCCATGCCACTCTTCAGAACCACGCTCCACGAGGCTTGTGCAGAAAAGGCATCCCATGTGGCGTTCTGCAACCAGGCTCGTTTCTCGCTCAAGGTTTGGCCAGGCACTTTGCTCTTGGGGAAGCCAACCAAACACATGGTGCCTTCAAACAGCAATCTGGCATCGGGCATGCCAAAATCAGCATGCAGGGAAACTTGGCAACTTTGATCAGCCTGCTGGAAAAACTGCGGAGTGAACAGTTCCTTGACAGAGGCATCATCGGTAGTCAGCCAGGACAAAGCTTCTTGAGAGCAGAGCTTGGACCAGAGGCCTCCCACCTTCTTTGCAATCACAGTCTTGGTAATTGCAGCTGACAAGAATCCAGCAGCACCAGTCTTCTTCATTTGCTCTGCCACCCAAACTTTTTGGAACTTGTAGTACTCATGGTCGCTCATCGAAGTGCAGAAGGGGCCTGCCTGACCCTCGCTCCAAGTGACTGGTGCAACCTCCCAACCAGGAGGGGACTGCAACAGATCTTTCTCCAAATGCCACTTCATGCCCTTGTCCACCAGCAGAGAACTATTGTTCTTGAAAGCATCTGCAGCCTGCTTGCACAAGCTCAAGTTGTGCCAGGAAGAGCCAGAGCAAAGCTTTGCACTGGACATGGCAGAACTGTTGGCCTTCGTGGCTGCCTTGTCCTTCTTCTTGCTCTGCGCCTTGCATTTTCCCAAAAAAGCCTTCCAATCCTTCACGGCGCTCTTGTACCTGGCCATCAGACTAAGCTCAGATTCGTCGTCGCTTCGCTGGTTCTGTGCTTGCAGCCACTCCTTCAAGGACTTTGCCACTTCCACAGCCACGGTGTGGATGGCTTGAGCATCCTTGGAGTTGCTGCCTCTCTGCAATTGTTCTTCCCACTTTGCCTTCTGTTCTTCGATCTCTTGGCAGACCCTTGGCAATAGTTCGTCGCAAGTAGCCTGTCGCTCATTGGCCTCATTTCTCATCTGCTCTGTTTCCAAAGCAGCAGACTCCTCGGCAGCTGCCAAAGCCAGTGCTTTCTGTCTGCTGACTGCATCGTTCATGGCCTGAAAGCTTCGCTCGATGGCAGTCTCTGCCCCCATCGTTTCTACGGCAATGCTCTTGATCACCTCAGCTTTTGGGGCTTGCTTCTTCTCTTTCTGTTGGGCTTCCAGATTCTCCATCCACTGTGCTTCCAGTTCAGCTTCCATAGCCTTTGCATTCTGAATGTCCTGGCCCACATTCAGAAGGGAGGTGGGGCCCTCGAGGGTGCCTTCAAGGCAAGCTTGACGGTCAGCATCAAGCCTCCACTTTGCCTTTGTGGCACGTGAGGAAGCCTCTTCCTTAAATTCAGCCAAGTCGGCCTCCTCTGTCAAATCTGCTCGCTGACGCACTCCATGTTCCAAGGAATGTTCTTCCCCGGCTGAGATTTCAATTCCCTGGAACACAGCCAGCAGTGTCTGGCCTCGACAAACCTTGGTCTTTGCTCCTGGTTTCTTGCATTCAATCCTGAAAGCAGCCTCGGCTGCTTCCAGGCTGTCGTACTTTTTCAAGTTCATCATCTTCTCGCACCACATGTCAGAAGTCTGGAACTGATCCAATTCATTCTGAGAGAACTGGGTTCGTTGAGTCTCTTGCACGAAGCCAACTCCCGTGCAAAAGGTTCTCTTCGTTCCACGTTCCTGGAGCTTACGTTCCTCTTTTTGTTTAACGTACCATTGGCTCTTCTCTTCGTTGGACATTTTGCTGAGCTGAGATCTCTGAGCCTCAGCTTTCTCTCGACGGTCTTTCTGGGACTCAGACTCAGGTTTGTCTTCCTTAGGTTTGCGGCAAGCTCGGTTCAAACACTTGTCAGTTGCCACACAATCTAAGCAATTCCTCTTTAAGGCATTTCGCCCGTTTGCACAGGAATCCTTCAAGGTTGTGGATTGGCAGCATTTCTGACACACCAAACCCTTTTCACTTGCAGGCACTTCAGGGGACTCACCTTGGTGATCCTCCCCTGCAGTGGCTGCTTTCTTCGGGCTCATCGCTGCAAAGAAATGGCTGGCAAAGGTGGCAGGGAAAGTCAATGGGCTTGGGTAGCACGAGTCGTTTCCAAAATGGCTGCAAGCCAGGCCTGAATCTGGATGGATCAATGTTGGAAAAGATGCCCAGCATACTGAGCATATGGACACTAAGGTGAGGGGATATATGCGACATGTGTATATAAATTTAATATGTGTATGTAAGTATATATTATTGACGTGGAGAAATGGAATCGGTGGAATCTGGAAAATGGAGAAGTGAATGGGTAAGTCGAGACATTGCAGAGTGGAGTGGTATGGTATGGAGTATGGAGTGGTATGGAGTGGTATGAAGTGGTATGGTCGAGAAATTGCAAACACATCAAATCCCATCCAAGCTGTCACAAGACTTTCAGCCTTTCTTGTCAAAGGATTGCATGCCTTCGAGTCTGTGACCTGTGTTGCAGACAGGTGACAAATTATGGTCTGAATGATTTGAATTGCAACTTCCTAATGAAGAAGCCACGCATAGCCATGCTTGATGGCAATGGCTTTGCAGCACTTGGCAAAGAAACAAACGCGTGCAATTGTCTCACACGTGTAAAACTCGCAACTTCTACGTGTGCAGGCTTAAAGCCAAAGAACCATAGTCGGCCATACTCTCGGGGATCAATTGGCCACGCAAGAATTGATCTTGCAGCTCACTCTTCTTCTCTTCTGAGAAGTGTCGCTTTCTCTGCTGATACGCTTCAAGCTTGGGCATGGCTCACAGCCTTTAGCAGGGACTAGATCCCCCAAAGCAGCTGGGGACAACCTTTGCATGCACTGTTTGGAAATCACTCCATGGCGTGCAGCTGCCTCCAAGAGAGGTGAAAGCATGGCTGCCACATGAACGACGTTGAAGGCATTTCCAGTACCTTTCACAGCTGCAGAGGGGCCCTTGAAGTATTTGCTCAACTCCGGGCTGTGTCCTTGGAGGCTAAACCTCTCTTCTACAGTCAGAAACCTGTGGACTCTCTGCTTGGACCACTCTGCATGGACATCATCCAAGCTGATGAGGAAGATCTTTGGCCCTCCACTGCGTAAGCTGGGGATGCAATCAAAAGAGACAGCCCCACCATATTGCCTCAGTGGGTTACGATCCAGCTCACAACACATGACTTGCCCACTGGTGCCCTCAGCTTTGGCTTGCTTGGCCATAGCTTTGTAAGCAGCCAGGTTGGCTTTCATGTTGTCGGTCAAAGAGTTGGGATCCAAATTCGGCACGGTAGGGTCGAGGAAATCCAAAAGCTTTGGTTTCTCTTGCATGATTTCTTCAATCTTAGCTGGTGGTGGAAGGACATCACAATCCTCGTCGAGGCAATCCCTTCTCAAACCCCTGACCCAGAGCCTCGGTCTGGAGTGTGGGAGCAATTCTTTGAGATCTTGCTCCACAACTTCCAGCTTGAAAAATGGGATGGCCATCTGCAACTGGTTGATCAACGACCAAAAGTACGAGTGGGTGGCCAGGGATGGACTGTTCTCCAAGAGAAAGCAGACCAAAGACCCTCGCCAAGCAAGCTCTATCAACCAAGTAACGCAAATCTCCAAGACTTCTGACCTTTCGTCGGCGAAACCACCTCCTTGCCCATTCGGAGCATAGGGCTGACAAGGAGGGCCGGAGATGTAAATCTCGCAGTCAGGCAGACTGCTTCCGGCAACTCTTGTCACGTCACCCAGCTTGGGCCCACAAGCCATGGCATCGAGGCCTGAGACTCCATCCAGCTTCATCAACTTATAATACGCCTCGATTGCTGGGTCAAAGTCGTAAGCGCAGCAACTTTCATATGGAACTTTGGAAGTTTCAACCCATGTTCGCATCCCTCCGATACCACAGCATGGCTCTCCAATGCTGGGGCATCGGCCAAGGAGTCGGAACACACGGCCAAGTTTCCACAAAACTCGCTCCACTGCAGGGATCATGGCTGACTGATGGTGACTGTGTGTTTCACACAATCTTGATTGGCTAGAAGCTGAGCCCTCAAAAAAGAAAGCTTTGCTTGGGGCATTTGAGGAATTTCTCTGCATGACCTGGGTTGAGGCACTTGTAATTTAAAAAATGCTTGTGTTTGGCTGGCACAACGTGCTGTAGACACATCAATCTAAACAATCCCTTGCTTTCTCTGAGCCATCACGCATGGATGGAAGAAAAGCTTCAAAATGTCAATCTCCGTCTGGATGTTTGCCGACACGTTGCATCCCACAACTTTGTGGGTGAGAAAATGAAAAGTTTGGATCCACTACCAGCCATTGGCCAAAGCCTGGAATGAGGGATGTGATCGAAACAAAATTTCAAACAACATGATGCCAGACTGCATACAAAAAAGCTATAAGAGAGACATGGGCAAGAAGGTGGCGAGACACTGGCGAGACACTGGCGAGACACGGGCGAGACACGGGAGAGACACTGGCGAGACACTGGCGAGACACCGGCGAGACACTGGCGAGACACTGGCGAGACACTGGCGAGACACGGGCGAGACACGGGCGAGACACGGGAGAGACACTGGCGAGACACTGGCGAGACACTGGCAAGACAAAGGCTAGACATAGGAGGAACAAGGGTGGACATGTTTCAAACCAAAGCCAAAAAAAACAAAAAACAAGATGCACCAATGGCATCGTTGCTCAAAAATGATTTTTGAGCTTAATTTCCAAAAATTGCGTGCATCAAACATCTTGATGTGACAATCTCCATTGAGAAAACTCTGTTCAACTATGCTGCCTCAGTGGGCCTCGTCTCTAAAACTTTTGGCTACTGTGATTTCACCAAACTTGCATCAAGACCATCTCAAAAAAATGAATCTCAGTCACAACACTGCAGATTGTGTCTCCTGGACTTGGTGTTGGCTCTGCACTTGATGTTTTTCCTTTTTTCTCCAAGATGCCCAGCTCAAGGTCTGAGTCACACGCTCTTACTTCAAAAAATGGTTTGGCCACACAACAGCATCCAAAAAAATGGAAATTGTTTGAAAGTCTGTCAGTGCAAGTGCCTGCCTACCCATCTTGAACTGCAACAAAACCAAACCACCTCCCACACGGCAAGTGAAACTAAGTTCCAGCTACTTACAGTCGCCACGGTGAGTCAATCTCCACGAAGGATCTGGCTGGCAGTGTTCAGCAAGTTCTGCAGCAACTCGTGCCTCTGTGAGAGCTGCTCTGTACTGGACCTTGCTGCCCCTGATCCAGAGCTTCTTTCACCTCCCGCCTCATCCACTCGGTCCATAGACGGTGGGTGAGGTGGGGGAGGTGGACGAGGGGGAGGTGGCACAGCAGGTGCAGGCGGCCCTTCGTCACGATCACTCTTGCTTCCACGGCTGGTGCTCCTCGCACCCTTGTTGTAGAAGTAGGCCCTTCTCTTGGATGCAGCTGAGGTCTCAGGGTGAGAAGACCAAATGTGCTGACTTACTCCAAATTGCCCTGACTTGTATCCAAACCTTTTGCCACAGATCTCGCACTCCAAGTATTGGCCCTCACGTGCTTCAGGGTAAGGATCCTCCTTAGCACCTGGGGCTGGACGGAGTACGAGGTTGGAGTTTGACTGTGATCTGGCCTTCCCATGATTCCCAGGCTCCTTCTTCTGAAGCTTGCCCTTGGGAGACTTGTCAGGCTTGTAATCTCGGTCATGGTCTTCAGGTTCAGGTTCTAACGGCCTCATCCTCCTCAAAGCTGGGGTAGGCTCGCCACGGCCCAGGTGCAGCTCAGCTTGACTTCCAGTAGTTGGCCTCTTGTCCCGACTGCGCCTGCTATGGCTACGTCGCCGTCGATCACGTTCACGGCGATCACGGCGAGATCGCTCAGGAGAAGCCCTCCTGCGGTCTCTGCCGCTGCCTCGGTCACTGTGGCGGTTGCGTTTCTTCTCCTTTTTTGTTTTGTCTCGGAGTGCTCGGGCTGCAGCTTCTGGAGTTTCTTTGGGCAACGGCTCTGGAGCAGCAGCATCTTGGCCATCATTAGGCCTCGCAGAAACTTCTTCTGCTTGTGGGAGCTGAGTCGCCTGAGAATCTTCAGAGTCATCCTCGCGGTCTTCGCTGCGAGACTCCTCTGAAAGATCTTCTTCAGAACGACCACGGGAGCCCCGAGGCATGATTGGATCCTGTCCTGCAAGCAGTGATCAAAAAAAAAAAACTGTCAAGCCTTCAGCAAAGGGTACCCTTGTCCAGTCAGGGGTTGGGTCTGCTTTCAACCCTCTCAGGGTCAGGCCCCTTGGCCACCAGCACAGCTGGCCAGGCCAGGGAAAGCCACCCTGAGACCAGGTTGAGCAGCCGCCCCACTGGAACAAGTGGGCAACCCAAGGCCAAAGGCTCAAATTTTTAGAAAAAAACGAGGGTCCCATGATGAAATCGTGTCCAATGTCCTAGTCCGGTCCAGTGAGTCCAATGCCCCTATTTATTTACAGCACACCTTTACAGAAAAAAAACACCAAAACCATTCTCCTGCACAGCTTCTCACGCACTCAGTGGAGGCAAACTACTCACCCCAACTTGTAGCTGGGTCTTCCTTCTCACTAAACACCACTTAGCTCGTTGTGCTGAGTGCTGAGCCCCAAAAGGCTTCAGTTGTGATCAAAAAAACTAAGGTACGTTGTCAGGTTTGGCAAACAAAAAAGTTTGGGTTTTTGGTTGGTCTGGTTGGTTCACGTGTTGAAAAAACATGCTGTTGTTCTCTCATTTGTTTTTGTGAAAATTGTTTGCAAAAACATCAAAGCACCATTACCATTGCCGCCATTGCTGCACCAAACTCAAAAATCACTCTGAAATATCATATATCCTTCGTTTTTTTCTATTCCAGCATGACAGCATCTGTTTGACAGCATGTCTGCATTGCTATCACTTCAACTCAGCCAACATTTGCTGGCCATTCAGCCAATATCACGTTTGCTTCTCGCCCTTTCCAAAAACAATAACATGTGATTATGTGATTATGTGAGTACGTGATTGGAAAATACAATAAATTCGTTGCACATAGTTGGATATGACGTGAGATAATATTAGTATTTTGCAATGGTTGATGATTGATGATTGCCATTGCCATTTGCCATAACATGGTTAATCATGGTTCCCACTGGGCATTACTCCAGCAAAAAGCAAACATGATAATGATCAATGGGGTTTCTCTAATTGGATTGGTCGGTGGGTAAACCATTAGGTGACCCAGTGACCCTTTACACATCAAGCCAACACTGATTGGATACGGAGAAACTTTCGGACCTCGTCTCGGCTGGGATTGACGGCCTTGTGGGCATCAGCTGAAGCCAGGCGTCTGCCAGAGGCATGCCAGGCCATCAGCCATGCCTCGGCTTCCTCGCGACCACCTTCGTGGTTTTTCACGAAGGTGTAACGCCGGCAGGCACTGTGGTGTGAGCATTGTGTGAAAGCACGCAAGTTCCCACTGGAGTGAGACCACTTGTCGTAATGCACAACAATATGCTTCAGACCAGGATCTCGGCATTGCATCGGTTCGATCTGCAAAGCCTCTTCAGGCACGTGCACTAAAGCACCACCTTCGACAGGCAAAGGTTCCAAAATTTGATTTGGGTCACCATCAGGCAAGGCAAGGGCCTTTGCCTTTGCTTTGCTATCTGCTGAATCTGCTGCTTTGTTTTTTCTTTTCTTCGGAGATTGGTACTTTACACACTGGGCATCTGTCAAGGAGTTGAAAGCAGACATGTCTTCTGCTGCCAACAAGTCATTGTAGTAAGCTGCTGTGGCCTTGTGGTGAATCTTTTGTAATTTCCCAGGTCTCTCAAACAAAATCTGGTGCAACAAGAAAGCCTTGAAGTATGCTTCAGGGCGTTGCCAAATTGCACTGCAGAGAATCTTGCTCGTGCCTTTGACATGCCATCTCATGTCCTCCTTCCAACCTTTCATGGACCATCCATCCTGTAGCAAAGCTGACAAGAAGGCTAGCTTGCAAGTCTTGCGTGACCTGGTTCTGGTACCCCTGGTTGCGAAGAAACCTTCCAACAAGGGCAAAGGCTCGGTCAAAGTTAACCCTGGAAGGATCTGAAAGGCAGCTTCCATCATCCAGATACACTTGTCACCAAAGTCATCTGGCTCTGAGCACACAATGCCCAAGGATTGCAAAGCATCTAACCCTTTCGCTGAAAAAACTTCTAAATCCCAAAAGGAACACGCAGATTCACGGTTGAAAGCTTTCTTTGCAATCAAAGACATCAATGTCCTACGCTCCTCGCTGCCTAATGGTCTTTCACGCATCGCCACAGAAAAGCCAAGATCAGCACGTTTCTCCTCATATTCGACTAGGGCATCTTCTTCAGCATCTGCAGATGATGCCAGCAGAACAGTTTCCAATGGATCTTCGTCTACAATCACATCTGGAAGCAGCAAGGGGACTTCTGAAATTGAAGAGGCCTGGTGGCGCAATTGCAATTGCAATTCAGAGCAAGTTACTTTCCAAACGGTTGCCTCCTTGCAGGTTTTGAAATGATCTCTTTGTGTCCACGTGGAGACATCCAACACTCGCATGTCAGAGGAATCCATGCTCACGGTGGCAGTTGAATCATCCTGCCAACACATGTCGGGGTAGTAAGTGATGTGCAACAAGGTGGACACATGTCTCGTTTTCCTGGTTTTCACAACAACTTTGGCTTCAGGGTGAGCTTCTGTCACAGAAAAAAAATCTGGTCACGAAGATGTTGGCTTTCGGTGAGTTTCGCAGATAACAGCATGGATTCCAGCTCAACAGGAGACACTTGGACTGCATCCACGCTGGGAACAGGGCACGTGCCCGCACGCCACAAGGCTGACGGCACTGAAGCAAAAGTGCCATTTGCCAACAAGTGCTTGATGAAATAAACCATCTGCAATTGCTCCTCTGTCGGTTTCACAGCATGGTCTTCAAGAGCTGCCTGGACCTTTCCCAAAACTTTTTGAAAAGATTCGGCCTCTTTCTCCCACTTGCTCAAATCAGAAAATTGAAGACTCGGGTGGCAAGCATAGACACGCTGACATTTGTTTGCCCAAGACATCTGTGCAACTTCAGCCTTTGGAAGCAAGTGTTCCAACAAGGTCACAAACAAATTTTTAGCATGCCACCTTTCAGCCAACCAGCTGAGGTGCATTTTGATCATGCGTTGCACCTCAAGTCGCCTTTTCCTTGCAGCCACCATCACGGGGCCAGCAAAGCGAAATCCCCTCTGGGCATGGAATTTCACGCGGGCATGCTCACCCTCTGTGTGTCGCTCTGCACACAAAGCGAAAGCTCTGGCCCTAATGGAAAGAAAAGCCTCTGGGTAGTCATGAAGGGGACGCTCAGGGTCAGTCGCAAACTCACGCAACTGCTGAGAAACACGGGGATCGTGTTCGAGGAGAGCTGCAGAAGCAGCATCTCTGGACTGTGGAGCCAGGGTATCGTACTCAGCAATGGCTTCTGCAATGGCTTTTTTTGCCTGGATCAAAGGATAGCCACAATACTCACCAAAGCCTCCTGCAAGGACATAGGGAAGGGTGACAAAAGGACCAAACTTCTGCTCAATCACTCGTACAAACTTCGTTTTCACGGCCAAGTCTATTTCTGCCATACGCCTTGCCTCTGCTTGAGGGCTCGCCAAAAGAGCAGAAGTGTATTGCCAATGACTGGCATTCATCACACGGTGACACAAACCCTTGGCATGCCCCAAGGCCAACCCAGTGAGCCTACGGCCCTGCCATGGACAGCTCCCATGGGCACAATGAGCAGCTGCCATTGCTTTCTTCCTGGCCCATTTGGTGGTGTGTGCTGCCAAAATGTCTTGATGGCAGAAGCATCCCTCAAACCACGTCGCTTCTTTGCCCACTGTGCTTGTGAACATGCACAGCCAGGACAAAAACAAATAATGCCATTGAGACTGAAGGGCTTCGGACAGAGTCAGCACGTACTTGCTAGTGGGGTCAGGAAAGGCATTAGGATCCCATCTTTCCTGCAAGGATGGGAATACAGCAATCCATTGCCAAACCACTTCTTGCAAGCTTTGCCAACGCCAATTTAACAGTTTTGCTCGGAAGGCATGCACTGCTTCACGCTCATTGGGCCTAGCACCTTCGTACAATTTTTCCAAGAGAAGAGCCTGAGAAGATGGCTCCCCCACAATCTGCGAGGCAGCTTGAAGCTCTCGCTCCATTTGCTTCCACTCCTCCACTTGTACTAAGGATTCTTCCAAAGCATTAAACATGATATGCAAAACCCCTGGCAATGACAATGCTTGGGGAAACAAGAAAGGATCGGCAGAAGAACCAGCTTTTGCCTCAGCAGACAAGCCTGTTATAAAATCTGCCAAATCCCCATCAATGTTCAACGGAAATTGTGGCAAATTCCTTTCTGTCCCCTGGTCGGATAGGAAAGCAACAACTTGCTGTCTAAACAGTCGAAGATGTTGCTGACCATATTCCAAACAAGCACAGTGCAACAAGAGCCTTGCCTTGTGAGCTGTGGAGGCTTGGCCTTTGCCAAGGGTCAGTGCAGGCAAGCTCCTCCTTTCCACTTCGAGTCCAGATGTGAAAGGATTGAAACCTGTCCCAGCAGATGAAGCCCTGAAACCAACTGGTTGGCGAAGTATATCTTCAATCGTGCAAAAATAATTTTGGTGAGCCTGCGGAGAAGCATCGCTACTCAAGTATCGGTGCACCAAGAAACCTGGCTGCTCGGGACTGTGAAAAGTTCTTCTGCAAAGCATCAAAAAAAGGTCTAGCTTGATCAACGCTCTTCGCAAAGATTCTCGTCCAGGCACAGGTGGCAAAGCCCCACCCAATTTGGAAGAATCTGGGTCCAAGATTCGGGTGCAGCAAGACAAAATGGTCTCTGTTTCTGAAAAATTCTGCATGACATAAGCCATGTCTGCAAACAAAATATCTTGCAGTGGGGATCGCTCACTTCGAGGATCTCCCCAGTTAGCACCACGATCATAGTAGTCTTGCCTGCTAGCAAAACGCCCACTCCCAGAAGAAGTGGCTGCCACCACGGCCAAAGCATTTCCCTGCCTTGAAGGGTCCTCCATGGCCAAAGGTTCTACTCTGAGTTTCTGGCAAAAAGCAAAGGGGGTGACAAGTTTTAAAGGATTCTCGGCCACCAAGGCAGGGACCCTCAACAAATAACCCGTGCACCAAGGTCTGGAGAATGTCCCTGGCTCTGTCTGCCCAGAATCTGCAGGTACCCATGCACCACTTTTCCCTTGCAGGAGCGTGGCAAGTGAATCGCCCAACTTGAGCACGGGATGCATCTGCTTCCCAGGCAAATCTTCTGCATTGAAATCGACTGGTTGTGAGAAAACAAAACCAACTGAACCCTGCCAAAAAACATGTTTGTCAGCAGTCTTCGCAACCTCCCCCTGAATTTGATTAATTTTTCGCGTTGACCTCTCTCGGGAGTCGTTGATCCAAGCATCAACCACATGTCTGTTCGGCCCTAAATCTTCAGTGCAAGAGGTACACTTCAGAGAAGAGACCACAGACCATCCATCAGTAGCACGTGTGCCTTTGGCCACGCAAAGATGGAAGTAACAAGGAAACAGTTTTTTGTTTTCCTTGGCTTCTCCTCGACCCACGTATCTCATTTCTCCAGCATGCGGCTGTAAAACAAAAGGCTCCATCGCCAAAAAAATCACAAGGAGAAAGAAAACATACAATGCTACACTGACAAAAGCCATAACTAAATTCTTCAACTCAACACTCAACACCTAAGATTTTGCCGAAGATCTTAAAAAAAGGAAAGCTTATCTAAATAAACTGGCAACTATAATGATATACTGTTCCCTTCTTCTGTTGCCTACATGTGGTGCAACATGTATCATGCTAGGCGGCAGGGCACACACCTGGAGCCTCAAAATGAAGGCTGGCAGAAAACGCAATGTCCAGCATCGGTTCATCAGTATGGAAAGAGACTATAGGGGAATCAATATGTTTTAAGGAACAAAAGCATCAAAGCATATGCCCTGATATGAACCCCTGCTAAACCTATGAAAGTGGTTTGGGGACCCTGGGAATTGATAGCTACCTTAGATTAGGGATTGGGAAAACTTCGCCAAGTGAAGTGATGATATAATCATCATCATCATCATCATCATCATCCATTATTCACCACCATTAACCATCATTAACCATCATCATCAAAGGCGACCACTAAAAATGAGGCTTTGAACACATAAAATGGGCACTTCACGAAGCATCAAGACATAGGTTTGCATTACCGGTTGGTGGTTTCCCTCTGAAAAATGATGGAGTTCGTCAGTTGGGATGATGAAAATCCATGAAATTCCCAATATAGGGAACATTAAATTGCATGTTCCAAACCACCAACCAGATTATCAACTATGAGTTGGAATCTAACTAAAAACAATTCGGATGCAAGCGACGAGAAACTGGATTCGACCAGAAAGAAAGAGGTCTTTTTCAACATGTTTTAATCTACAAACACAAGATACACTTTCTATAGAAACTCGATAAGATCCAGATCAGAACAGTGTATAAACTATCACAATCCTAGCACAAAGGATTTGACTTTTTAAGGCATCTTTATTTAGGGCTTGCGAACCATAATCTAAGAACTGATGACTGAAGCTTTCCGAGGTTTCTGGGGCTCCAAACTGCACCGCTGTGGTGGGAGGCAAGGTGTACCTATGAGGGGAAGGACAGCGACATCTGCCGATCTGCCGACAATGACTACTTTTTATAGAGTATATAATAACAGTATATCATGAATGGTCCAGATCGTTCGCAGGATTTTTGGTGCCTAAAACTGATCACACATTTAAACCAAGAATAGATAGTAAATATAACCAAACAAACCCTCATTGCTGGATAGAAATCCAGAAGTATCATCCATTTTTGTTGTCTCAACATTTCAGTCGACTTCGACCAAGAATCGCCCTGAAGAATTCCCCAGGAGGTCACTTCAAGCCCAAGGAGGCCCAAAGTTCCACCACCTTGGTCAGTTCTGTCAGGAAGATATGATATCATGATATCTATCTATAATCTTATCTAGATGTATATACATATATATATAAATATTATATTTAGACACATGATTTGTTTGTTTGTTATGTTGACAATAATCATATTTTCATCACATCATTACTCTGTTGATATGATCAAATCACACCAGTTGTGATAGGTTGCTTTGATAGAGCTGGTCGTCTCAAGGATTGGAAAACGGGTTCCTTCCTTTGCCATTGATGCATCCATTCGTACACAACCTTAACCATTCATACTCCATAAATGCACACCCCTTCATGGCATTTACACCGCTTCATGCTACAATCTCCCAGTTTACACACAGAATCGTCGGTCATTGGGGATCGTCACCGCTACTTGGAACCGCCAAAGCCATGTGGCTTTGTCCGCGAGTCGAATTTAAATCCAGTGCGTTTACCATTGAGGCCACAAGATGGCTGATTATAGTTGGAGGTCTACTCTTAATTGCGAAGGATGGTGTTTTTTTTGTTGTTTTTTGGCATACCTCTCTTCATGTTTCAGACCTCTCATCAGCTGTTGAAAAAAATAGTCATGCTGTCCCTGTGATGGTTGGCATACCCTCTGGTAAACTAACATAACAATGGAACATCACCATGCTATTAATGGGTAGTCATCAACTATTTCGACTGGGCCATGGCATGCCATGGCTTCAAGTTCGCAAACTGTTAGTCATTACCAGGCCGGGTACCCCTCATCATGGCTGGGCTTTCCGGACGCGTCCGTCGTAGCGCTCGACGATGCGGTCCAAGTTGCCAAGCTTGTCTCGGATCCAAGGATAGGAAGGATAGGAAGGATAAAAACGATGGAGAAACCGGAGAAAACTGTGGGTTTTCATGGGATTTTGTGGGATTCATGGGAATTTACGGGATTTTAATGGGATTGTATTGGATTTCAAGATTTGGGCTCAGGGACTCTGAATACCCCCCTGTTGCCCCGTCTTAGCGGATCCTTGCAATATCCGCGGGTGCTTGTTGCACCTTTGGGCTGCACTTTTGCTTTAGCTGGTGTGTGCCTGGGCTTGCATTGTGCTCATCCAGTTTGACCTTGTCACAGTGTATGCCAACGGCAATTTTGATCTTCCTTGCCCTGCTTACGATCCTGAATCAGGAGAACGGCAACTCAGGCGAAAAGGCGTGGACAAAGGCGATCTCGAGCTCGTGCTCGACTACTTTGGTATCTTCACAGGAAAGGATACAGAGTATTGTCGAGATCACAGCTTGCGGGGATTTGCAACACCCTAGCTGCCCATCACAGTCGAGACCCTGGTCTTATCGCCGCTATCAGAAGACAGATGACTTCGCAAAAAGCTCAACCATGGCGCTGCCAGGTGTGCATGAAAACCCTGAAAGGAAACATGCCAAGGTGTGCCTGGTGTGGAGATACATGGCAAAATTGCTACGATCCCACATTTGTGCCGGGAGAGCGAGGCCCTTCCACTCCCAGAGCGTATCAAGATCGACCTGCTGCTTCGCCTTGGAATGCGCACCAGCATCAGTCGAACTACACGCAGTGGGAACCGGACTATGGTGGTGGACAGCAACAAAGTCTCAGACCCAAGTCCAGACGTCGTCATGGACGAGGACGCGGCCATGCTGTACCACATCAAGCTCCAGCCTATGTGCCACCTCCTGTTCCACCACCTGTGCCAGCCAAGGGCAATGGGAAGCATGCTCATCATGGAGGGCATCCACAAAATCAGATGTTAGCCCCTCCGCCGCCTCCGCCTGCCTTTTTGGCACCGGGACACCCAGGATCAGCCACTCAGTATGTTCAATCAGTGACGCCTCAAGAGACTGTCACGACAGATGGCAATGGACTTGCGCCAGTCATTGCGGCGCCAACCGACGCCGAAGTGCGGCTCAAGTCATTGATGAGAGAATTGCGCAAAGCGCCAGAAGAGAAGTTGACACCCGCTATCCAGGAGGAGATGAAGAAGAATACCATCCGGGAGGAAAACATGGATGCAAAAGGTCTTCATCGGGCAGTCAACGACGTCAAGAAGGCCCGGAGAGCAGTGTCTGCGGCAGTCTCTGCGCGTGCCAAGCTCATGACGGATTGGAAAACTTTCCTGCAGCAAAGCGTGGTTACCTGGAAGGAGTACACGCTGATGTTCCAGACGCAGGAGAAAACCTTGCACGACAACCTAGTCGCTGCGCAAGAAGGACTTGTCCAGGCCAAGAAGAACTTCGAGGAACAATCCGAGGCTCTTCGAGAATCTGGTATTCAAGACATTTCGGACGAGGAGAAGGACGCTGCGAATGCAGACGACCTCATGGAGTACGAGACCACCAAAAGGATCCACGAAGGGCTTTCCACAGTGGTCAGCAGCCTGCAGGAACTCTCCGAAAGAGCAGAGGTGGAGGAGCAGCAAGCCAAGCGTCAGAGGCGAGCTGCGGAGGCCCCAGAAGAAGAAGAAGCTGGCGAGCCTCACTCAGCATCTGCACTTCCATCTATGCAGCCTTTTGGACGGCCCGGCAGCCTGTGACTCGTGAGTACAGCTGTCTTGGGCCTTGTCCTTCTGACGCAATGATTGCGTTGATGAATTGGCAACACTCCATTTTGGAGGAACCCACGTTTAAAGCTCCTTGGACTGCTCTCCAGAATGCCATCCACCTTGCGCATGAAGTTGGGACCTCGAGCGCATTGAAGATTGATACTGTCAGTGTTTGCAAGTCGCACAGAAGCAAGCGCACAGTTCATTTCGACCAGGAAGTGCATCTTGTGATTGAGCATGAAGACTCATGTCAGAAGTTTTCTGACAGGTTCCCACTGGATAGTTTTTCTCAGTGGCATTCCGTTCCATGGACTATGAGACCATTGCATTTGCTCTGTGACGTAGTTTCTCCTCGACCTCACGTTGATCCTTTGCCTATGACAGAGTTGATCTCGGAGAAGAGTTCTTTGGACTTTGATGGAACCACGCTTATGCAGATTGCTTCTCCACATCAATTACGAGCTGAGTTACCTCCGCATGCATGGCTTGCGAGAACGGACCAGCCCATTGCAGCACGCACTGTTTTACCACACCAACATCATGCCATTGATGCTCCTGGTGATGATGCCGCAGATGCGACTGATGTTGACTTTGACCGTGTTCCCAACTCCCCATCATCCAGCTCTTCATCGCACATTCAACAGAAAGTGTGTCTTTTCCATCTTGACGACCAGCCAATTTTCGGTCGCATCGACTGGACTGATTATCACCAGATGATGCATGAAGCCGCTGCCCTTCTTGAGGTTGATGATGCTCATTTGTTGGGACTTATCGACATTGCAAGACCATTGGATGATTTGCCTCGTGACGTCACACCACTGATCGCGCACATCGCTGGTGACCTTGATCCAGGTGAACTCCGGCATCTTGCATTGGCTGATATTGAAATACATGCCAATACCCATGAAGCTCATTACTTCACTGCTCCCGTCGTTGACAGAGCTGTCTATGCCTTTCCACGGTTTGCAGATCGACGAAGCATTTTCATGACTGTTGACGTTGCCACCTATTGCCGGGAAGAACGACATCGTTGTCTCCTGCGCCACAATGATCACAACATTGTCACATTGGGCAATCCTCTTGTGCGAGTTCAGCCAGGTGACTACTTGAAGATTACCGTTCCTCCACCAGAGGCTTGTGGTTGGAGTACACAACGCATGTTGCAATTTTATCGTCTTCAAGATGACCATTTTATGGATTCGTCCTCCGACGTGTCGCACAACTCTGGATATTCACCCAGTCTTGTCCCATCCGAAGAGTTGCGCAGACAACTTGGACTTGCTCAAGACGATGAACAGGCGATGTTGCAAACAGCACTTTCTGAGACTCCCTGGATTTCTCAGGGACTACGCCGGGATGTCAAACATGTGATCCCTCGACAGTGTAGTTTTACAGAAGAGTTTCTTCGTGCTGTTCAACTCATGCAGGAAGCCGCTGATGATGTACCTGATCCTATTCAAGACGCGCTTGATGTGCGGAACTTTGCGCCATGGGTTCAAGTACTACTTGATGCTTGGCACGCTGACGCATTTGCAGGCCCACATGGTACCAACCATCGTGCCAAGATCGAAACGTGGTTCACAGATCACTGGAACTATCAACGATGTTACAATTCGCGGCCAGCCTTCCTCGCTGACAACTTCCATCAGTGGGAGCAGCAGCTCCGGCAGGTTTGGCAAGATCGAATTTTGATCGGAGCTCCACTTGAATTTCACTTGATCCATCCTGCACCAGAGGATAGTGATATCAATGTTGTCGGGCATTTGATATTGGTTCAGCGCCCAGTTCCCTTCCAACGCTCAATCATCGTCTCAGTGCATGACAACGACTACGACCAAGGACGGGCACACTCTATGGCCATTGTATCCGGCGATCTTGTTGATTTGCCGTCCATTCAAACTTTCCTTGAAGCCAATGATGATTGTCCCCCAGAGGTTTTGTTCAATGTCTGTGATTTATGGATCGATGATCGCCAACTGGGGCCTCGTGAACAAGTTCAAGTTCGCCATGGCCAAACTGTGAGCTTTCGCATTCAACGACGAGACGTTGCTGGCACGCACCATGGAGTTGGACTGCAAGCACTTTCAGATGTCGGACTTGATGCACTGCCTTCATCTGGACAGATCGTCGAGCTCCTTTCCGCAATTCCTTCAGGAAGTGATTTTGATTGGGCGCGACACCTCGCAAGCCACTTCCGTCAGGAAGCTATGACTGAACGTGCTGACGAGGGTCCCATTGCGTATTTGCAGACTTGGCATCTTGATGGACAACGAGCACAACGCTGCTTTGAACCTCGCACTATTCGAGTGCGATCTGATGTTTCAGCGTGGAGACCCACTATTCTACATGCCTGGCGAGACCTCATTGATATTCGCATGCATACTGACATCTTTTGGGTTCGTCCAGTGCCACCTCGTTCTTCACTTCAATCCTTCATTGGACATCTTTTGGTGATTCAGGAGCGGCAACCAGGCATGACAGGTATCTTACTTTCCGCAACTGCAGTTGCTCCCACCCATCGAGAGGTTCAACATGTTGCGATTTTAAGCTGGCCTGCCGTCACCGTCAATGACATCATCGACTTGTTTCCTATCCCCATGCATTTGAGATCATTTCCCTTTCGTATCCAGAGTGGACATGATGATCCTGTTCAACATGGTTCTTTTGCAGTTGAGGATGGTGACAATCTTGGCATTGAGATCATGGTCATTGATTACCCCACTGTCCGTCCCAGTGATTCCATTGATATCGAGCCTGAAGCAGTTGATCTCCTACAACGTCGCCTTCGCATCACTCAGGCGGCGTACCTTGCAGTTGCAGATCCTCTTTCAGACCAACATGTTGATGCAGTTTGCCATGATCCTTACAGTTCTACGACCAGACAACCAATTGATCTTGCAGCAGCCATTCCCGAACCAATTTGGACTCGCATTGACTGTGCCAAAGCTGTGTTTCTACGACAGCAACTTCTCAGCTCTTTTCCGCCTTCACCAAGTTTTGATTTGACTGATGTTCGGTGCTCTGCAGTCTCTACAGAAGCTCTTTGCCCTACGCCACCATGGACGATCGAGCACCCCATTGGTTTTGATTTCTATACTGATGGCTCCTTTCTGCGGCAACGGCAATGTGCGGCTTCAGGTGTCGTCCTTATTGTGCACACGCATGATGGACAGCGCTTTGGCGGATTTCAAACCTCGGGGTGTTGGAATGAACCCTCCGCCCCTCGAGCTGAAGCTTCTGCTTTGAGTCTTGCACTACACTGGGCAATTTCACTTGCTGCTCAATTCGAATACACCAATGTGCAGATGCGATTTTGCTTTGATAGTTTATTTGCCGGTCGGGCTGCTCAAGGGCTCTGTCATTCTGACAACAACCAGGACTTGACTATTGTCCTTCGGGCTTTGGCATTGTGGCTTGAGCAAATCTCTACCAAGACACTGCAGTGGACCCATATCAAAGGACACTCTGATGATCCTTGGAACGATCTTGTTGACGCTGTGGCTCGCCAGGCTGCATTGTCCAAGACTTTCACATATGACTTACATGCGTGTTTGGCAATGTGCACTTTTGATTTGTCCGACTTTGTCACCGTACAGTGGATTTGGCTCGTCGAACTCTCCATGCGTGGTCATCCCGACGCACCGGTTCTACATGGGACATATTGGAAGTTCAATTCCGCAGCTGCCACTCATTCCAAAGCAGAAGCTCATGTACATCCCTTGATTGTCCAACAGAGTGCACGATCACTTCAGGTCTCTCAAGATGTGAACATCAGCTGTCGATTTGCCACAGCCAATGTCCTTACGTTGTATCCACAGCGTGAGAGGGGAGCTTCTTTCCTGGGCGCCAGGGCTGAAAACCTGGCTCACCAGTTCCGAACTGCAAGGCTTCAGTTCATTGGCTTACAAGAAACGCGATGCCAACGGCAGGGACACGACCATTTTGAGTGCTTCCATGTTTTGTCATCCAGTGCCAGCCCGCAAGGACATGGAGGTGTGCAAATTTGGATTCTCAAGAAGCTTCCCTTGTATGATGGCAATCTTGAGATTACCACTGAACACCTTCGAATCGTACATGGTGACTCCAGACGTCTCATTGTACAGTTACGGCATCCTCGTATCAAACTGTTGCTCATTGCTCTCCATGCACCATGCCAAGATGATGAAGTAGCAATGCAATCGTGGTGGACTGACACATCAAGCTGCATTCCATCCGGCTATTCTTCCTGGAGTTGGATCATGATGGGTGATACGAATGGTCGCCTCGGATCAGTTACTTCTAGAGCAATTGGAGATTATGGCGCTGAAGTTGAAAACATGCGTGGATCCCTTTTCCATGACTGGCTGCTTCGGCACAATTTATGGCTTCCTCAGACATTTGAATACACGCATTCTGGCGAGCATGCCACCTGGCACCACCCTTCTCATGGTCATGGGCGCATTGATTTCATTGGCCTTTCCTCTGACATTGACATGCACGAGACGGCCACGTGGATTCATGTAGAGGTTGATCTTTCCACAGCACGCGCCGACCATGCGTGTGTGTGTGCTGAGGTTCGGCTGCGGTTAGACCATAAAGCCCCACCTGCACCTGAAGTTGTTCCAGCAGTGAGCGTGAACACGCCAACATGGCACCATGATGTTCACACACATGCCGCTCTATTACAGCGACAACTTCAAATTCAGGCTTCACCACATCAGCAGCCCATCATTCGCAAGAAGCACCTTTCACATGACACCATTTTCCTTATCAAGCGCAAGAAATTTGCTCGACGTCGTTTGCTTGCGGCTCAACGTGCACAGCGTCGGGACATACTGCTACACGTTTTCTGCGCTTGGAAGTGTCCTGATGCTCCACCGCCTGGTGAGACTATTTCTTCAGGTGCTATTTTACGTGAAGTTGCGGTCTCAGCAGAGCAGTACAGGAAGCTTTCCATCAGGGTATCCTTTTGTGTACGCGATGACGACCGCCATTTCTTTGAGGAGCTTGCTGAAGAAACAGGTCGAGTTGCGGAAAGAGGTTTCCACCGCATCTGGGACGCCATCAAACCCATGCTTCCCAAGTGGCGCAATCGGCGCAAACACAATATGCGCTGTGCAGGACCCACTCCTGACCAGCAGATTCGACATTATTGTGCCTTAGAAGCGGGCGATGAGGTTGACTACCACGACTTGCTTTCAACTCGCCAAGAATTTCAACAAGTACGAAGTGCAGACATTCCGATCCTTCTCCAGCTTGAGCAACTGCCGAGTCGAATCGATGTTGAGCAACGACTGCAACAACTGACGGCCCATCGTGCGCCCGGACCTGACAAGCTTACTCCCACCTTTTTACGAGCCCATGGTCCACAGATTGCAGAACCTCTTTCGCAGCTTGCCATCAAAATGTGGATTACAGGCAACGAACCTCTCCAATTTAAAGGCGGCATGCTGCACTCGATCATGAAGAAGTCTTTCTGCACCAAGGTTGAAGGCATGCGTGGCATCATGCTCATGGATGTGCTGGGAAAGGTCTTGCATGCCATTTTGCGACAGCGGTTCTTACCCACCATGACTCAATGGAGACATCCCTTGCAGCTTGGTGGGTTTCCTCGCTG